CCCCAAAACCCCAAAACCCCATGCAACTATAATATTCAAAAGATAGAAATAGACGAAATTTAAACTAAATTAAATTAAAAAAGGATCAGACGGTATGGAAAATAGTTATGGTATGAAATTTCTAATTTTTATTTTATCTAGGCGTTTAAAATGATGCATCTAATGAAAATCTACAGCAAAATAGCAGCAATAATAACCGACAGGGCATAAAGATTACAGATGGGAATAACCATGTACTACATGTAATTGCACCTGACACTTGGAACAACATTCCTATTTGTCTGGTTAAGGCTACCAAAATGATAATAGAATAAATAGTGAATATTGACTAGAGAATTCGGTAATTAAATGTACAAAACGAGCAACAGAGAAAGAAAGACTAAGCCTCATTTATGAGGTTGGAGAAGGATTTTAACAGGAAAGAAGACAACTTGAACATGGCAATCGATAGAACTGAGAAAATGTTATCTTCTCAGTTTATGAAATAATTTTAGGACATCGAGTAAACATTAATGTCCTTTAAGGAGAGAGTTGAATTTGTTCACGAGAGTGCAGGCAACATGCTTGAGCAAATGAACTTCAAACTTAAGAAGGTTGATGAAACAGAAAAAGTCAAGGCTTGGTGTAGTATGTAAATGGAAGAATTACTGGTACAATTGAGATACGACTTAAAAAAGCAAAACCAAGATAACTACGATGATTTTATGAAATTCAAAAGCCTATTCAACTTGCCTGGAATTGTAGGATAAACAAATAAATTCACTAACATAAGGGAGTTTTTATTAGATCAAATGCAGTCAATAAAGCAAAATCATATTGACTTGACAAAGTTGATTGTGGAACTTGAGTAGAACAGTATAACTCCAATTGAATCAAAATTAATGTCACTTAATCACCAATTTGATTAGTATATTTAGGAATAAAATGATAGACAAAAGCATACTTTAGACACTCTTTAGCAAGAAGTTAATTATGTAATGAGTTTAATCAGAGGTAAGTATATCTTTTTGTTTATTTATATTATGTATATAGAGCAAAACAAGCAAAATGATTCTTTGAGACTCGATATTGATGAAAAGTTTGGAAATATTCAAGATAAATTTGAAAATGGAATGGAAGTAGTACACGCGGACCTTCGAGTTAAGGACTAATTCTATAAAGATATACAAAAGTAAGATTAGCAAATAGATTATCATTATTAGAGAACTTAACAAGGCTAGAAATGAAAATCAGGATAACAAGTAAAGCCTTGACAATGCTATAAAAGAGATAAATATCATGAGACATTAAGCTTTGAAATAGGTTGATACAACTGCCAATAAGCCAGGTTCATCAGCTGGTATCAAAAAGCCTAATAGACTTGGACCAAGCATGACAAGAGAGATAGATAATCATGAAAATCCAAATTTAGTCAAAAGAGTAGCAGAAATCGAAAAAATTTTGGATAGCGCAAGAAGTGGTAATTCTAATAATGACAACTAAAATACTATGAGCTTTTCAAAAAATAATTATGACATTCCAGTAACAAGTCTCTCTAATAAAGCAAATGATCCAACTAAAAGATTAGAATTGATGGATAAGCAAATAAAGACTTTAATTAAAAAATTTGAGGTTTTCAGTCGAGAACTTAGGAGTAATACGGCAATTATCAATAAATTGAAAGCAACTACTTTTAGAAATTCTAACAATTCAAATACAATAGAATTTGATGAATCACCTAACTAATCTGATAGAGAATCGCTCAGATCAAATCGTAATCTCAGAGTTAATATTGAGAAACATCTCAAGGCTGATTCATCTAAAAATAGATTGAGTTAAGGTAGTTTCTATAAAGAACCTAATTCAGGAGCAGCTTATGGTGATACCACGCCTAAAGGTCTTAAGATTGGTACAAGATTCCTCTAAGATTAAGATGATGAAAATGACTTTTTTGACATAAATAATGCCAGTACACCTAAGGATGTACTGCCTGCTTTAACACCAAGAGCTAGTAAATTTCAGAGGAACAGTCTAAAAGTAGAATCTAAGGTCGAAGATAAGAATTTATCATGGCAAGACTCAAATACTTAAAATCTCATTCGACTCTAAAAAATGATAGAAGACAAAAAGACACAGGAAGAAGCCATGAATCCTCCTGATGAAAATCCCATTGATAAGCCTTAAACTAGGATCTTAGAAGAGCTAAAAGTTAAGCAAAATGACCTTAATAAAGTCTAGAAAAGAATTTCATTGCATAATGCATTAGGCACTAAAGAAGATAATCCATTAAAGTTGGCATTAGAATAGATACCCAAAAATACTTCAACGACTAGACCTCTAAATTAAAAGAGATAGTCAGCTGATAATACTAAAGCAACATCAATAGCTGATAGCAATTCTAATAGAATGCAATTAAATGGTAGACTCACATAAACTCTTGGAGAAGGAAAAACCAGAGATCACAGACTCTCATAAACAGTTGCTTAAAGTCCTAAAGAGAAAGATGCTTTGAATACAACAACAGCAAATGAAACAAGTTTAGCTTATGGTAAGCCTAATGAAAGGATAACTTTGAAGAATTAGATATAAAGACCGTCAACACAAATATAAGGAAGCTCATATAGTACACTTGATTATAGGTAAAAGATGAACTAAAGCAACGATTAGTCTTTTACCAACAGCATACAAAATTAATCTCAAATCAAACCTCTCTATATAATAAAGGAGCAAAGCTTAGAACAAGTGATAGGTGGAGGATAAAGTGCAAGTGGAGTTGGCGGAACAAACGAATTTCTACCCTAAATTTCAAACTCGAACAGATAGCCGATTCCTTAAGAAGAACTTAAGAAAATCTAGAACTCTATTGCTAGTAAAATATTTTTTTTTGATTTAGTAATTAGGCAACAAATCTATTTAAGAAAGAAGGAGACTTACTAATCATATTACTTCTTTGAGCAATGTTGGAGTGTTGATGCAATAATAACTATTCGGTTAGGAGAATACTCAGTAGCAGATTTATAATGAATATCAAAGCAGCCAAGGAGCAGGCCAGTTTTCAACAAAAAATTCAAGATAAGGTACTGCTGACTTTTAAGGAAGAAAGAAGGAGCTGATGATCCCCTTAGAAGTTAAGTTTGAAAAATTGGACACTTCAAATGGGGCCAATTCCCTATTATGATGGTTAATCACCTCTTGAGCATTTTAGAATATTTTTAATTTGAGAGAAGCATAGATAAAATAAATTGAATAAAATGATATGATTTGATTTCATAACTAACTCCTTACTTTTTTAATTAATAATGATATCGTTTCAAGGGGTTTTGGGGTTTTGGGGTTTTGGGG